AGGTTGTTAGGGAGACTGGAAGCTAAAAATCACTGGTTGTTAGGGAGACTGGAAGCTATAATCACTGGGTTGTTAGGGAGACTGGAAGCTATAATCACTAGGTTGTTAGGGAGACTGGAAGCTATAATCACTAGGTTGTTAGGGAGACTGGAAGCTAAAATCACTGGGTTGTTAGGGAGACTGGAAGCTATAATCACTAGGTTGTTAGGGAGACTGGAAGCTATAATCACTGGGTTGTTAGGGAGACTGGAAGCTAAAATCACTGGGTTGTTAGGGAGACTGGAAGCTATAATCACTGGGTTGTTAGGGAGACTGGAAGCTATAATCACTGGGTTGTTAGGGAGACTGGAAGCTATAATCACTGGGTTGTTAGGGAGACTGGAAGCTAAAATCACTGGGTTGTTAGGGAGACTAGGAGCTATGGTCGCCGGCAGAGAGACTGGTAACTACGCTCACCGTCAAGCCGGTAAAGAAACCAGGGACCGAGCTTCTTCAGCTCCCAATGACTTGGAGGTGAAAGGGGTAAAATAACAACTGAATGGCACCATCAGAGCTAAGTAGTGTCCAGACAAAAGCAGAGTTCACCTGTGATGTGAACATAACGCGCACACACACACACTAACACACAGACGGAGAGAGAAAGAGGGTAGGGAAGGATAGAGAGAGAAAGAGAGAGAGAGAGAGAGAGAGAGAGAGAGAGAGAGAGAGAGAGAGAGAGAGAAGAGAGACAAAAAGAAGGAAAGTTAAGTGGTGTCCAAAACCAAGGGGAGGTTCCCCTGTGATGTGAGCAGAACAGTTACGTGTTGTCTATATACAAGAGTAGGTTCACCTATGATAAGAAGAGATTTACATGCGGTGTGAGCAGAACAGAGTTACCTGGTGTTTATATACAAGATGAGGTTCACCTATGGTGTGAGCAGAACATAGTTACGTGGTGTCTATACACAAGAAGAGGTCCAACTATGGTGTGAGCAGAACAGAGTTACGTGGTGCCTATATACAAGAGTAGGTTCACATGTGGTGTGAGCAGAACATAGTTACGTGGTGTCTATATACAAGAGTAGGTTCACATGTGATGTGAGCAAAACAGAGTTACCTGGTGTTTATATACAAGATGAGGTTCACCTATGGTGTGAGTAGAACAGAGTTACGTGGTGTCTATATACAAGAGTAGGTTAACCTATGGCCTATGGTGTGAGAAGAACAGAGTAACGTGGTGTCTATATACAAGAGTAGGTTCACCTTTGGTGTGAGAAGAACAGAGTAACGTGGTGTCTATATACAAGAGTAGGTTCACCTATGGTGTGAGAAGAACAGAGTAACGTGGTGTTTATATACAAAAAGAGGTCCAACTATTGTGTGAGCAGAACAGAGTTGCCTGGTGTTTATATACAAGACTAGGTTCACATGTGGTGTGAGCAAAACAGAGTTGCCTGGTGTTTATATACAAGATGAGGTTCACCTATGGTGTGAGCAGAACAGAGTTATGTGGTGTCTATATACAAGAGTAGGTTCACATGTGGTGTGAGCAAAACAGAGTTGCCTGGTGTCTATATACAAGATGAGGTTCACCTATGGTTTGAGCAGAACAGAGTTACCTGGTGTTTATATACAAGATGAGGTTCACCTATGGTGTGAGTAGAACAGAGTTACGTGGTGTCTATATACAAGAGTAGGTTCACCTATGGTGTGAGCAGAACGGAGTTACGTGGTGCCTATATACAAGAGTAGGTTCACCTATGGTGTGAGTAGAACAGAGTTACGTGGTGTCTATATACAAGAGTAGGTTCACCTATGGTGTGAGCAGAACGGAGTTACGTGGTGCCTATATACAAGAGTAGGTTCACATGTGGTGTGAGCAAAACAGAGTTACGTGGTGCCTATATACAAGATGAGGTTCACCTATGGTGTGAGCAGAACAGAGTTGCCTGGTGTTTATATACAAGATGAGGTTCACATGTGGTGTGAGTAAAACAGAGTTACGTGGTGTCTATATACAAGATGAGGTTCACCTATGGTGTGAGCAGAACAGAGTTGCCTGGTGTTTATATACAAGATGAGGTTCACATGTGGTGTGAGCAGAACATAGTTACGTGGTGTCTATATACAAGAGTAGGTTCACATGTGATGTGAGCAAAACAGAGTTACCTGGTGTTTATATACAAGATGAGGTTCACCTATGGTGTGAGTAGAACAGAGTTACGTGGTGTCTATATACAAGAGTAGGTTCACCTATGGCCTATGGTGTGAGAAGAACAGAGTAACGTGGTGTCTATATACAAGAGTAGGTTCACCTTTGGTGTGAGAAGAACAGAGTAACGTGGTGTCTATATACAAGAGTAGGTTCACCTATGGTGTGAGAAGAACAGAGTAACGTGGTGTTTATATACAAGAAGAGGTCCAACTATTGTGTGAGCAGAACAGAGTTGCCTGGTGCCTATATACAAGAGTAGGTTCACATGTGGTGTGAGCAAAACAGAGTTACGTGGTGCCTATATACAAGATGAGGTTCACCTATGGTGTGAGCAGAACAGAGTTACGTGGTGCCTATATACAAGAGTAGGTTCACATGTGGTGTGAGCAAAACAGAGTTACGTGGTGCCTATATACAAGATGAGGTTCACCTATGGTGTGAGCAGAACAGAGTTGCCTGGTGTTTATATACAAGATGAGGTTCACATGTGGTGTGAGTAAAACAGAGTTACGTGGTGTCTATATACAAGATGAGGTTCACCTATGGTGTGAGCAGAACAGAGTTGCCTGGTGTTTATATACAAGATGAGGTTCACATGTGGTGTGAGTAAAACAGAGTTACGTGGTGTCTATATACAAGATGAGGTTCACCTATGGTGTGAGTAGAAGAGACAAAATTAAATGGTGTCTAGACATGAAAGAATGTTACCTGTGATGCTGGACGGCCCTTGGTCCGATGTTGCACATTGTAAACACAGCAAAGCAGAATGCCGGAAATGTCCAGTTGACTATAGCAAAGCCCCACCACTCTAGAATCTCGCCAAAAAAATTGGCGCCAGAAACATAGTTGAACATGCCGCCTGCAACAGATAATACAAAAGCACACACCATGTTAACGGTATTAAAACAACATCTAGTTAAAATATCAGATTGAAATGGCGTGTGGCAAGTAAGCAGACACACAACAATTATAAAATGTTAACTGCAGTGGGAAAAGAGTATTAATGTGCTAATATATCGAACCTGTATATTAAAATTTTAAGAGCATGCATCGTCCCTGTAGCAACATACGTATGTGAGCCGTGGAATAGACACTCCAGTGCCTTGCAAAGCCTTCATACGGTTTTAGCTATAACAAATCTCGTCCTTTTCAGGACGAAATTTTTTGTCATTTGAAGCCCCACTCTGGCTTTTGCCAGGGGCCGCAATATAGGCAGGCCATATATGGCCAAATGTCTGAACGCGGTTTCTGGGACCTCTCCACGGCGATCCTCATCCACATGGTGGCACTTTGTGTCATTGGGTGTTTATCGCTTGTGTGATGTCCTGGTGGGGTAGAAATTCAGTTCAGTTCAGTTCACTCCAGTGCCGTAAAAACAATATGGCTTTTGAGCTGAAATGCTATAAAAGAAGATTCTCTGAACGGAATGGCCAACGAAGCGAAGAAATGCTGACATTTTAAAATATCTGAACATCAAGGAAGTTGGCTAATAAACAGCATCTTGTCTCAGAAGTTGAAATATTTTGGTCAAATCAAGCGCGATGGGGATTGGAAAAAATAATATGGGTAAGGCGTCGGCATCTGTGGCTTAGACGTTGCGAACACGCTTCGTAAGGCAGATGTTTTGGGTTCGATCCTAGCTGCAGGTCTTGTGCCTTGCGCTGGTTTTGACAGTGGTATAGAGAAGCCGACCGTCCAGAAGCAATGGCAAACTACTGGATGTAAATTTGCCTTAAAAAACCACAACAGCCAAAAAATGCTCGGGTTGGTTCTGTAACGGCCTGTAAAGGATACGCAACTAACTTTTTTAAATGGTTAGGCATGGTAACAGGAAGGGGGTGGAAGGGACCGACAAACACGAAGATGGGTACACAGTATAAGTGACTCCTTGAATATGAATGCACAGTAGGCGGGAGAGCTGCCGAGGGACCAAGTTTCTTTCAGGCAGACCGTGTGGAGAGCGACAATCTTCAAAGGACCTGCTACATGATAAGGATAGAACCTGTGTTGTTTCCTACTTTTGAGACATGGACAATAAACAGAGAGGCTGAAATTTATTCTTTTGTCTCGTGGTTTTTGAAAAGAATAAAAATGATCTCATTGAATGATTCGATTTGATTTGATTCAAGAACCGACCTCACAGCACTCGGGGCATTCCCCTAAGCGCTCCGTCCCCATCTTCAGCAGCCAGCAAAGAGTTCCGATACTAATGGTGCCAGTAGCTGCACCCAGAGCTTCGTGCAAGGTGTGGTCTGTGTCTGCGGTTACCCTAAGATATGACTTCACCTGCAGCACCTTGTGCCTACCTGCAACAGTCAGCAAACCAAGGATGTATCGCATACACACCACTGGGGTGTCTCTGGTGCAACCCAGAATGACCCGCATTGCTGCGTTCTGTATGCGCTCCAGTTTGTCCATCTGACTCTTTGAGACGGTAAGTGAATCTACGTTGAATGATTGAACAAATAAACGAGACAGTCCTTCTTCAGACAGACGAATGTTCTAAAATGGTCAGAGAAATTAGACGTGTGCGTTCAGTGTATTTTTCGGGCATGTTGTGAGGCGAAGTTGACTCGAGAACTTGCTGATGGCTGGCAACATTGATGGACAGAGACCCATTAGGACCCCTGCCATTTCCCCACAATAGGAGGAGTGTGGCCTGTGGCGTGTGTGTGTGTTTGGGGTGGGGGGGGGGGGGGGGGGGGGCGGGGTTCAGTGTCCTCTGGATTTTTGTTTTACGATAATGAATAATAATAATGGTAACAGTAATATTACCTATTTTTTTTTGTTTTGTTAAAAAGGAATAATGCCCCGAGTGGTAAAAAAATGCGAGTATAATAATTTATTTCAAATATATTACATATATGAACAAATACTTTCTTTACGTGGTTAAAACGGTTGCTTAACCTTAAGAAACATTACTAGGGTGGTGGGGGGGGGGTGGTGCCTTTAACTGGCCGGAGACTCCAGATAACACCACGCCCCCACCCGCCATCCGCACCCCCATCCCGCTGCTGCCCTTGGCAGAGAAGGTATACAGTCGAATGCAATCGTGCTGAAACAGTCCCGAAAGAACAATCACAACTGAAACCAATATAAACCCACTCTAAGAACTTGATAGCTACTGTATTTTGCCGTTTTACGCAAGGGGAAATTTTCCGTTATCAGGAACACAGACACCAGACACAAAGCCCTCGAACCTTCAACAATAATCCCGCTATTCTTCTAATACTTTCAAATTAACGCAGGCAAACAAATGCTGGTATCGTATCACCGTAGATCGCCTCTTTGAGAAGATTAAACGCCAACAAATGAAAGGGCGTGAATACAGGTGCTCTACTTCAATTACAGATCGGGTCTTGGCAGACGTAATTTTCCACAGCTTTATTCTGCTTTTTTATTTTGTGTACGTTCTCAGATATCAAACTGAAAGCTGGCAATAAATATTACAATTGGTTGCAAATCCTTTAGGGAGCCACAGAGACTTTGTTGGTGGTTCTTCTGGTGTTGGCAACCTTTGTCGCCGTAACCTTTTCTGTCATTTGTTTTTAGTATTAGCAAGCCCAGCTTGTCGCCATGTTTTTGTTTCCTTGATTAATCCAATTTCTTATAGCCTAGATAATGATTTTTCTTATCACGTTTAAATGTTAGAGAACTCGGCCTGTCGCTATAACGGCGTTTTTAACATTTGTTCAAGCCCTTCTTGCCTTGATAATGTTTTTTTCCTGTCACGTTTTTGTGTCGCTGCGAGCTATGGTTGTTTCTATGGCATTTTCCTGAAATATGTTTGGTAGATTTAAGCCTTGTGAGTCGCTATAGCATTTTCATGAAATATTTTTGGCATACAAGCCCTGATAAATACGAAAAGGTTGTTCTTCTCGCATGTTTGATGTCACTTCTGTTCATCGCTATAAGGTTGTTCTTCTCGCGTGTTTGGTGTCACTTTTGTTCGTCGCTATAAGGTTGTTCTTCTCGCATGTTTGGTGTCACTTCTGTTCGTCGCTATAAGGTTGTTCTTCTCGCGTGTTTGGTGTCACTTCTGTTCATCGCTATAAGGTTGTTCTTCTCGCGTGTTTGGTGTCACTTCTGTTCGTCGCTATAAGGTTGTTCTTCTCGCGTGTTTGGTGTCACTTCTGTTCGTCGCTTTAAGGTTGTTCTTCTCGTGTGTTTGGTGTCACTTCTGTTCGTCGTGATAAGGTTGTTCTTCTCGCGTGTTGGGTGTCACTTCTGTTCGTCGTGATAAGGTTGTTCTTCTCGCGTGTTTGGTGTCACTTCTGTTCGTCGCTATAAGGTTGTTCTTCTCGCGTGTTTGGTGTCACTTCTGTTCGTCGCTATAAGGTTGTTCTTCTCGCGTGTTTGGTGTCACTTCTGTTCGTCGCTTTAAGGTTGTTCTTCTCGTGTGTTTGGTGTCACTTCTGTTCGTCGTGATAAGGTTCTTCTTCTCGCGTGTTGGGTGTCACTTCTGTTCGTCGTGATAAGGTTGCTCTTCTCGCGTGTTTGGTGTCACTTCTGTTTGTCGCGATAACGTTGTTCTTCCTGCGTGTTTGGTGTCACTTCTGTTTGTTGCGATAACGTTGTTTTTCTCGCCTGTTTGGTGTCACTTCTGTTTGTCGCGATAAGTTGTTCTTCTCGCGTGTTTAGTGTCACTTCTGTTTGTCGTGATAAGTTGTTCTTCTCGCGTGTTTAGTGTCACTTCTGTTTTGTCGTGATAAGTTGTTCTTCTCGCGTGTTTAGTGTCACTTCTGTTCGTCGTGATAAGGTTGTGCTTCTCGCCTGTTTGGTGTCACTTCTGTTTGCGATAAGGTTGTTGTTCTCCCATATTTGGTGTTACTTCTGTTTGTCGCGATAAGTTGTTCTTCTGACGTGTATGGTGTCACATGTTTTTGTCGCGATAAGGTTGTTCTTCTGGCGTGTTTGGTGTAACATGTTTTTGTTGCGATAAATTGTTCTTGTGTTTTTGTTATAATCAGCCCTGCTCTGCGGGACAATATCGCTCTTAATAGATATATATATATATATATATATATTATTGTTAGCAAGTTCTGCTGGTGAAATCTCGATTTTCTTTATAAGTTAGCCCTGCTTGTCCAGTGAAACTTGTCTTCTCGTGTTTGTGTGGCCGTAAGCCCTTTTTGTCGCTCTAACGTTGTTTTTATGGTTTTTTTTCTCCTTTATGTTAAAAAAAAAATGTTAGCACTGCTTGTGGCTGTTATGTTTTTATTGATACGTTTCAATTATAATTATGAGGGTTGAACAGGACATTATTTACGACTGCTTATGGGCGCCAGAACTCCCCCACCCCAACCCATGTATAGAAGTTCTCTCTTTAAGGCTTTATTTATGCATTTCTTATTATTTAACACACACACACACACACACACACATTATATCTATTAGCCATTCATAATATTTGTGTTGTTGTCATTGTTATCATTATTGTTATTAAATTGTTATAATGTAGCACTCAAACAAGGTTCAAGCCCTTAGCCCCAGCGCATACAATTTGTAACATGTTTTCTTTGTGTCGTCACACATGCTACTGTAACCTAATGGCTAGTGCGCGGGTCTGTCTGGACAGTGTTCCCAGTTCAAATCCGGGCTGAGAGAGGAAAGATTTCCTTCGAGTTTCACGGCTGTGTTATTTCGACAGCCGTGTTGCACTGGTTACAGTTTCATTTTCAAACTTGTCTTTGAGTCACTGAGATTAAAAGGCGACAAGAATCTGAAGAGTGTAATAGAGAGATTGATTTCAAACCCGACCCCATTCCAGCAGTGCTTGCAGACACCAGTTCAAGTCTAGGCTTACCTCGGGGAATTTTGTAGCCGGTCTCTCCCGGTTTCCTCAGATTCCTTAGAATGTGGTCAGAGTGGATGTTGACGGCCATGCCCGTGAAAAACATGATGGTTCCTGGAAGACAAGGTCCGAAATATACGTCAAATATATTTCACACATATCCCAGGTGAGACATTTACTGGAACTTACAGGCACTGATTGACGAGTACACGTGCATATGAAAAAACAACAGATGCCAGACAACTCTCACATAAAATAGTTACACATCTCAGAAGATATGTGTTTAGATTCCTTGGGCGTGTCGTGAGAAGGCAGAGGCTGCAGTACATCGAAGCAACATGAAATCTGGAGGGGAAGCAAGGCAGGGAATGAAGAGAAACTGAGTTGAGAACGGACCCCATATTTGCTGCTCGCTGCATCATTCTCCTCAGACCGTAATGATCTGTTTTTAGCATCCGCATTGTTCTCTCTCTCTCTCTCTCTCTCTCTCTCTCTCTCTCTCTCTCTCTCTCTCTCTCTCTCTCTCTCTCTCAAATGGTCCTAACACCATACACACCTTGTTTTATATCCATGAAGAACCAGTCAATAGATATGTGTGTTCATTTCCCAGTTTGCTGGCATCCTCTGGAGAAAATATACACAAGACCTGGGACCTCTAAAGCTGCGCATGCCACTCTGCACGGCTCCGAAAATGGACAGCTCAACATCTTGACATAGGGCAGAATGTGTACACATCTTGACATAGGGCAGAATGTGTACACATCATGACATGGGGCAGAATGTGTACACATCATGACATGGGGCAGAATGTGTACACATCATGACATGGGGCAGAATGTGTACACATCATGACATAGGGCAGAATGTGTACACATCATGACATGGGGCAGAATGTGTACACATCATGACATGGGGCGGAATGTGTACACATCATGACATAGGGCAGAATGTGTACACATCATGACATAGGGCAGAATGTGTACACATCATGACATGGGGCAGAATGTGTACACATCATGACATAGGGCAGAATGTGTACACATCATGACATGGGACAGAATGTGTACACATCATGACATAGGGCAGAATGTGTACACATCATGACATGGGACAAAATGTGTACACATCATGACATGGAGCAGAATGTGTACACATCATGACATAGGGCAGAATGTGTACATATCATGACATAGGGCAGAATGTGTACACATCATGACATAGGGCAGAATGTGTACACATCATGACATAGGGCAGAATGTGTACACATCATGACATGGGGCAGAGTGTGTACACATCATGACATAGTGCAGAATGTATACACATCTTGACATAGGGCAGAATGTGTACACATCATGACATAGGGCAGAATGTGTACACATCATGACATAGGGCAGAATGTGTACACATCATGACTTGGGGCAGAATGTGTACACATCTTGACATGGGGCAGAATGTGTACACATCATGACATAGGGCATAATGTGTACACATCTTGACATAGGGCAGAATGTGTACACATCATGACTTGGGACAGAATGTGTACACATCTTGACATGGGGCAGAATGTGTACACATCATGACTTGGGGCAGAATGTGTACACATCTTAACATGGGGCAGAATGTGTACACATCTTGACATAGGGCAGAATGTGTACACATCATGACTTGAGACAGAATGTGTACACATCTTGACATGGGGCAGAATGTGTACACATCTTGACATGGGGCAGAATGTGTACACATCATGACATGGGGCAGAATGTGTACACATCTTGACATGGAGCAGAATGTGCACACAACATGACATGGGGCAGAATGTGTACACATCTTGACATGGAGCAGAATGTGTACACATCATGACATGGGGCAGAATGTGCACACAACATGACATGGGGCAGAATGTGTACATAAATGACTGTCCTTACAAGTTTCAAACGGCTCTTGAAAGACGAAGTGAGTTAACGAAAGAGTTCAAAGAATGGACTATAAGAAAATGTCAATGACATTTTCGACTTATTACTTAATGCTCATCCCCACTCCCAAGCCATACTGCAAGCTGCAGCAGCCTTGGCCTGGCCATTACCAATGTCGCTGATAAAGTTTCTTTGGAGGTTGAAGGGAATATCTGGGATGTGACTTGTTATTCTGCCATCGGGGATTGAGATTGTGTAATCTCGAAGTATCAGGTCCTGAGGTAGTAGCAGCCCGCATGCAACTCTGAAACTTGTAGACACAGGACAAAGAAAAAGACGACAAACAGACGTTACCCAATGAAGAACAAGAAAAAGGCAGCGCTGCTAGAAGATAAACAAACCGACCTGTAAGCGTATCTAGATGATAAACATAAATAAATAAAATTGAATTTAAAAAACAAAGAACACTTAGGAAGCTGTGGTTATAAAAAACCCGAATAGGGAGGCGATAAAGGAAAAAATAGAAAATTAAGAAAAAGACATAGAAAGTCGCTAAAAGTATGGAAAGTTTAAAAAAAAAAAATTGTATCAAATGAGGAATTAATTAAATAATTTTGGTAGAAAATGAAGACTAATTTAGAAGAGATACTTAAAAATGGTGATCGAAGAAAAAAATTATCTGGTATTGAACAGGCTGATTAGGTAATCGTACTGGCAGGAAAAGAAGAATGCGAGAAAAGATGGTGACCTCAAATGAAGAACAAATACAGACGACGTGGAAGAGCGAGTAATAGTAGAAAATGAAGAATAAATAAAGATCAGCCAGTAGAAAACGATTACTAGATAGTAATGATAAGGTAGGCGGCGTCCGTGGCTTAGGCGTTGCGAGTCCGACTCCTAATTCCAACGTACCACGATCGAAACCCACTGATGACTGTGTGGATTTGTAACATGGTATGGGGCGTCGCAGGTCGACCCAGCCAAAAATGGTTACCAGGATGTATGTCCTGAGGAAGTAAAGACGGCCGGCGTAATGCTGACCACATTACCTACCTAGTGCCGATTGGTCTGTAAAAATATGGGTACTCTTCCCATATACCCGTTGCGCCTGAAGGCGAGAACATGGATCTTTACTTTACAAATGATAATGTAAAAGGGCAAGGGGCGGGGGCAGGGGTTCAACATAGAAATTAAAACAAAATGAGAAAGCGGCTTAGCTGATATTTTCTCTGTTGAGTCTAAAGACAACAATTATAAAAGATAAAGAATAAACTGTACTAAATTAACAAAACATGTTGTAAAATGTGACCAATTAAGGGTTAAGTGAACCTAGATTTGCTGAGCCAAAATCTTCCAGCCATCAAAGTTAGCTGAACACACAGACATAAACAATAATATATAATTAGGCACACGAGAACTTTGCACTAATAACAGTGGGGGAAATGCGCCTCAAACCAGGCAAGGACAACAATAAGTTGGAAGCGAAGCTGCAGCGCTGCCAAATCACACAAACCAATCTCTAAACAAGAAGCCAAGCTGATAAGCTCTGAGAAATATAAGAGCTGACACGATCGATCTATTTGTCTAAGACAACCCCAGGGAGTTAAAACTAGCAATCTAATCAACATTGTAGCAGTGCTTTGGAAATGATGATTGGCAGAATTAGATCCTTGGAGAATGTCTGGAAGTTGGTCCCGTCCACATCTCTCTCTCTCTCTCTTTCTCTCTCTCTCTCTCTCTCTCTCTCTCTCTCTCTCTCTCTCTCTCTCTCTCTCTCTCTCTCTCTCTCTTTCACAACGGTCCGCTGATGCTAAAGGAGGGAAATAATCATGATGTAAAGTGCATGACTTTTAGTGAAGTTGAAATATACAACCGGAAGCCGCAGTGGAACAGTGGATCAGAAAGTCGTGGGTTCAAATCCAAAACAAGCCGTAAGTGCCAGGCGAAGACCTAGATAGCAAAGGCAGACAGTGTGAGGATGACTTCACCCACATTAGTCTCTGACTATCAAATATAGATCGCGCATTTTACACCTAATAAGTCTGAATATGTGCAAGAGAGCTTTTTACTCCAAATACACAAAAGGAGAGCCGATGTGGCGCATCGCAATAGGTAGAACCTGGGCCGTGTGTTTCGAGCGTCTTGGGTTGGAAGTGGCATCTGCGCGGTATTTTAACAAACTGACACAAGGTCCCCAGACCCAATACCCTACAAAAGGTACTAGGTCAGAGCCGTTTTAACAGCATTATGAGCCCCTGGGCAAACTAGCGTGCTGGGGCCACTAAAACAACCACTCACAGAGATTTCACTTAAAAAAAAAAAATTATGGCAAGTCACTTGACAAGCACATGGGACGGCTTTGGTGTAGCGCCTAGGAAAATCGTGGGTTCGGGTGGACGGAGAGGGACTTTTGTCAAAATTGACCTTGGCTCCCAGGTCGACCCAGCCTTTAATGGGTACCAGGTACAGTCATGGGAAGTCAAGGCGGCCGGCGTGATGTTAACCACATCACCCACTGAGCGTAGATTGGTTTATCAAATATAGGTCTAGTCCTACAAATACAATACGCCTCAAGGCGTGGAAAAGGGACCGTTTTAACTGATAGTCACTGACCAGCACAGGGCCCTCTGTGTGTGGGACACTCGGGAACGTGCTCAGAGAGTCCATGGGTTAAACCGGTCCTGACAAGGATAATGTCCTGGGAAATAAGGGCTGCTAAAGTGATGTTGACCGCTTCACAATTAGAGTGCTGATGTTCTGGTTAAAAAACAAATGTGGCATCGGATGTCAATGAAAGTGTGACCAGTAGTGGTGCTCGAATTATAACGTTTTTTTGGGGATTGAACGGGATTTCTGAGGTCTAAACTGTTGGTCGATACATTTAAATATCTGGGTACAATCAAAACATTAGAAGGAAGATGTGTGGAAGAGATGAAGAGCGGAATATGCCAGTCTAAAGCTGCGTTTCACAGAACGAAGAACATCTTGTCCAACCCGTCTCTGTGGATGTCCGAAAGAGCGTACTAACATGTTTGTAGAACCTATATTGCTGTATGGTAGTGAATCGTGGAATATGAATGCACAAATTAGAAAAAAAAACTTGGAGGCGACGGAGATGTGGCTCCTCAGACGAATGTTAGGAATCACTTAGACGGCCAGAGTAACTAGCGTGGATTGCTTGGAAGAAGCTAGAGAAAGCAGATCAATATGTACAGCAATAAGGAAAAGACCAGCATTGTTCTTTAGTCATGTGGTTGGGGATGTTGGCGGGGGTGGGCTTTGGAGAATATTGCGACGACTGGGAACATCCGCGGTAGAAGAGGTAGAGGCAGACCAAGAGTGATGACGACCGATGGAATGCCTCGGTGGCAACGAGGGATATCATAGATGGAACTGATCTGGAGGACAGGGGACCAAGATCTGCGGAGATGCATGAACGCCTACGCTAGTCGACGGGGCACGTGGTGATGATGATGACCCTGTTGATCTGCCGTTCAGGTGGAAATGTTTAGATATCAGGACAAATATTAGGTAGCAGTTGGGAAGAGACAAATTGATCGATCGATCGACCGAGCCAGTGGTGTGAAGACAGTCCTTTACTTACTCCGTGGCCAAGTGGGTTGTCCGTGTGCTTCGAGCTCTGAAAGTCGGCAGTTCGTTTTAAAACCGTGTTGATCGTTAAGTGCATTTTTGGGCACATCGCTGGAGCTAGAGAGCTTGTTCTTGTGAAGGGCCGTCAACCGATAAGAGAAGAAAGCCAAACATGTGGGATACAATTCCGTGCCATGAAGTAAATACTCTCAGCTGAGTGAGACCTCAGTTGAGTGAGACCTCAGTTGAGTGAGACCTCAGTTGAGTGAGACACGTCCATCTCCCCAGAACCGCACAACGAGAGATGACACAAAGTGCAGCCATTCGGATGAGAATCCCATGCACAAGTCCCAGAAAGCCCGTTTAACCGTTACGCTATATTAGGTTTCCAGACGATAGTCGGAGTGTGGCGTTAAAAAAACCAAACTTGCGTCCATATTGGGACGGAGTTGGATAACAAAGATGTTTTACTTTCAGTTTTAAAGCTCCAAAACTATCAAATACATGGTGGTAGGAGTTACTTGAAACTTCAGTCGAGGACAGGGAAATGTAGACAATGGACATAAGACTTACCAGCAATAATCCTCGGGTAGGTCTGGGGTGTCCACTGAAGGTCCGCATACTTGAGGATGTACCCGGGCTGGATGTATCCGTTGAGGGTACAGAAAAACACCGCCACCAGAAATGGAATCAACGGCGTGGGTTTACCTCCTCTGATCAACAGGGGGAAGATGAAAGTCCTGGATGATGAGAAACACAACATCTTTATGTTACTTGATGTATATTGTATAAGCACAGGTTTAGTGAAGTTAACTGCGTATCCTTTACAGGACGCTGCAGAACCAACTATGGAATTTTTTTTAGAAACCAGCCCAGGACAAATCGTCCGCAGCTGGTATCGAACCCGGCATTACGAAGCGCTTTCGCAATGGCTAAGCCACAGCCGCTTACGTCTTGAAAAGACAAATGTACTAGTACTTACACTTCCCTTAAATTAAAAACATGAATCGAGTTAATACAACGGTTACATAATAAAACATATTAAAAAAATATTTTGACTGGAATAATTTAAATAAAAACACTTTTGACCTCAGGGGATATGAATTGCTCAAAACTGGTTATCCCAGTGTGGTTTTATTGCTCAGATCTGTTGAGGAGTTGCACACCGCCCCTTGCTCAGCCAGTTACCAGGATGGCGATATTTTATGATGGCGATAAAATGGCTTGAAAGTTTGACGCCCCACAGAGTGTGACCAAAGGCAGTGACGGGATGCCAGTAAAAAAATGTGTGAAGTTCACCCGTGGAAACTCTTTGTTCATCGTTGAAAAGTGGATTTCTAGGCCGATTAATATTCGCTGCATTTGAGTTCAAGCATGCAAATTAAGGTTAGCTAGTAAAGGACATGCGCAATAATTTACTGAGTTGGAAACTGATTTCTACGATATTCGCCAATTCCCGTCCGAATATTTTGATTTTCGGTCCTTTTATTTTATTTTACCCCATCTGGAGGCTCGGAGATTTCGTAAGGAATTCACAGGAACGTCTTATATTATCGGGGAAAAGGGGGGGGGGGTGTGTTTAAGGGTTTAAGGGTAAGGGTTATGGTAAGTCGGTATTTATTTCACACCCTAACACACCCATACTATTGGGCTCTCCCGGGAATTCCCTACGAAATTTCGGAGTCACCGAGATATTTTGAAATATAGGAAAAGAACATTATTCTGCCCCCCCCCCTCCTTTTCAAAGCTGTCTGAACAGGATTAAGTTCTTAATTAATAGATTTAAATTGGGGGGGGGGGGGGGGGGGGTAGGGTCACTTATGGTTAGTTAGTGGCGTATCCTTTACAGGACGTTGCAGAACCAACCCCAATAGCCCCTGGCTGTTGTGTGGTTTTTCTAGGCAAATTTACGTCCAGTAGTTTGCTATTGCCCTGCACGGTCGGCTTTCTTAATACCACTGTCGAAACCAACACCAGGCGCATGGCCCGCAGCTGGGATCGAACCCGGCATCCCGGCATTACGAAGCGTTCGCATCGACTTAGCCAAAGAGCTGACGGTCACTTATGACGATTGTAAATGTATACGACCGATTTAGACACCATACTTTGTCGCTGAGACATAATGGGTTTGTGATGGTCCGCATGGTTTCATGACAACTAGTGTGTACGGAAACTTTGGGCATAATTCTATTATATTACTACAACAAACGTTAATGCACACTTGGCAGTCTCAAGCGTGCTCAGTCCTCCTATGCAGTAGCCACTCCAAGATACCTCTACTGAATGTTCCCAAGAAAAGCTGATAGTAATATTTACTATCTGCTTCAAAAAGCTTTACTACCGTGTAACGTAGTCGTATTAGCGCCAGAGATTCGACATTATCCACATCCGTTGATGTTGATAATATCAACTCTGCCAAGGCTTCTTTCCGAATTGCAACCGTGCTTTAATTGCCAGTTAGCTCCCTCGTGAAGTACCCTTTACTTCAGTAAGCCTATCACATAACTAGACCACCATGTTTATGTAATTTAGTGATGCTTCTATGTTATTGTGGTTTACATTTAATTATAACTGAGTGATGATTCCATGTTACTGTTGTTTACATTTAATTATATTTGAGAGATGATTTCATGTTATTGTGGTTTACATTTAATTATATTTGAGAGATAATTCCATGTTATTGTGGTTTACATTTAATTTATTTGAGAGATGATTCAATGTTATTGGGGTTTATATTTAATTATAATTAAGTGATGCTTCCATGTTATTGTTGTTTACATTTAATTACACATTTTTTGTGTGTGATATATTTTATACACTATACACTATTACTGTTCGTCGTATTCGGCCGAATAGTTGGTCCCGTTATTCGTATTCGGCCGAATAGTGAAAATCCCTATTCGGTACAGCCCTAATATATATATATATATATCCTGGAGTAGGAGCCTGTCCTACTACTAGGCGCGCCCACCAGGTGGCGGATGGGGGAAAGGCCTCTAGATATAGAGGTTAGCCACGAATATATTGAATAAGTGGCCGTGGACCAAAACAGGTGATGGTCATTAAGAGGAGGCGAGTTAGTTGGTGGGACAGCTAACTCTATAAAATACCTCAAAACTCTACGACATGGCCATCGACGGGTAAGAGGCGCCATAACCTCTCCCCCTCGCTGCCTCAGGGTAAGTCTCTTTGGACAAAGGCTATTGGAGTCAAACCATTCACAAACCGGCGGAAGGTAAGGGGAAACCACCGCTGTACTATCCCAAGAAAATCATGCCTCAATATAATACATATTCAGATAACGACGTGAATGGGGATTCCAGTGGAATCAACTCGTCCGGTAGTGAGCATCATGTTCTACGGGTGATACCCGACCGTCATCCAGCTGCTGTAGAAAAAGTAAATGGTAGAAACATCTTGAACATTTGTACATGGAATGTCAGAACACTCGTAGAAAACGGAAAGTTGGATAACATCAAGATGGAAATGAAGAGAATGAACATCAACATATTAGGAATTAGTGAAATGCGATGGCCAGGAGCAGGTGAAAAGTATTCAGATCAGTACATAATTATTTACTCAACAGCAGATAGTTGAGAGGAAGATATTGACGCATTTTATGATGAGTTAGACATGGCTGTTGATCAATGCAAAAATTGTGAAGTAACAATGGTACTTGGAGATTTCAACGCGAAAATAGGAAGTGAAAAAGTGAACGAATAACGGGTGGCTATGGTCTAGGAGAAAAGAATGTGAGAGGTGACAGATGAATAGCATGGGCTGAGTCGCGCAGCATGATAATAGGTAACACCTGGTTTAAACACCATCCTCGAAGATTGTGGACTTGGAAAAGTCCTGGCGATAATGTCCGCAATCAGATTGATTATATTTTGATTTCAAGAAGATTCAGGAGCAGCTTAGTTTGAGCAAAAACTAGACCAGGGGCAGACTGCTTTAGTGACCATGTTCCAGTTGTAGGAAAAATTAGAATAAAACTAAAGAACATTAGAAAAACACCACAGAACATCAAGTTAAATTTAGAACGGATAAAGAAATTAAGGACCAGTACAATGTCACTGTACAAAACCGGTATAATGCAATGGAAATTATACAGACTATTGATGAACAGTGGGATATGTTGCGTGAGTCAATTCAGCAGACATCTAAAGAGACAATCCCACCAACCCATCGAGTTGCAAAAAAGAAATGGATGTCAACCGAGATTCTGCAGTTGATGGATGAAAGAAGGAAATAAAAGAATGATAAAGAAGAATACCCTGAAATACAAAAAGAAATAGTGAACAACTGCAAAGTGGCTAAAGAAGCCTGGCTGAATCAAATGTGTACAGAGATTGGGGAAAACAACAGGAAAGACTCACATTCCATGTACCAAAAGATAAATATGTTAACAGGAAAGATGACACGTAACAGAACTGGATGTTTAAAATCAAAAGATGGTGACTTATTAATGGGACATAGTAATATAATTAACAGATGGACAGAGTATATAGGGTAATTGTATGATGATAATAGACCAGATGTAGAACTGCAGACCAACAATGATGGTCCACCAATAATGACTGCAGAATTTGAAGATGCAATACATCATATAAAGAAAAGGAAAAGCACCCGGGCCAGACAACATCTCACTGGAAGAAATCGAGGCACTGGGAGATTTTGGAATTGAAATAATAACTAAACTTTTAAATGATATTTATAATAGTGGGTATATTCCAAATGACCTTTTAAAATCCATATTTATAGCTCTGCCTAAAAAAACCAGGCACTATAAAATGTGAAGACCGTCGCACAATAAGTCTTATGAGTCACATTACTAAGATTTTACTGAGAATAATTATGAGAAGAATAAGAAACAAAATTAAACCAGAAATCAGCGATGAACAGTGTGGATTTTCAGCAGGAAAAGGTACAAACAATGCCATATACATCCTAAGGACATTGTCAGAAAGAGCTATAGAAGTAAAGACTGATTTGTACATATGCTTCATAGACTATACAAAAGCATTTGACTGTGTGAAGCATGAAGAAGTAATCAAACTGTTAGAAAAATTAAACATTGATGGGAAAGATCTACGAATAATAAAGAATATGTATTGGCAGCAAACAACAGCTATAAGAATTAACAACTGTTTAGGTACATTTCAAAACATAAAGAGGGGCGTACGACAAGGATGTGTACTGTCACCTGATTTGTTTTCAAAATACAGTGAATATATAATGAGAGCTTTAATTGGTATGCCCGGAATTGTGGTTGGTGGGCACAATATAAACAATTTACGTTATGCTGATGACACAGTCTTGATAGCAACAAATCAGAAAGAACTACAGGAAATGATAGACATTGTGGTGTTAGAAAGTGAAAGAATGGGCCTCAGTTTGAATAATGGGAAGACAGAAGTAATGCTGGTATCAAAGAAACGAATTATTCCTAAGTGTGTAATAAAAGTTGATGGTATTATATTAGGACAACTACATAAATGTAAGTATCTGGGCACATGGATAACATCAGATGAAAGATGTATAACTGAGATGAGAAACAGAATAGGGCAGGTAAAAACTGCATTTAAAAAAATGAAAAAAAAACACCTTGTGCAATATATCCTTGTCATTGAGAGTTAGAAAAAAATTCTTGCTTGCTACATACATCCAGTTTTAACATATGGCTGTGAATCCTGGACAATCGGTAGGCAGGCCAAACAATTTCTGGAGGCCTCGGAGA